CCCTTGAAGATGCTGTTAGGATTTCCCCTTCCTCTCCTGTTTTCTCTTTGTTTTCCACTATACAAAGTCTAATCTGGGACAGAAAAGATCCATTCTTTATAGGACATATCAGGGCACATACAGGATTGCCTGGAGCCCTTAGTTTGGACAATGATTTAGTACATAAAACTACACATGACATACATATTTTCTCTACACTAGAAGAAACTACAAATTTTCATAAAAAGTTCCATGTCGATGCTAATACTTTACAAAAGTGTTTTAAAATAACTAAGGAACAAGCTAGACAAATAATAAAACAATGTCAAAATTGTGTGACCTTTTTACCACAAGTTAATCTTGGAGTCAATCCTAGAGGACTGATACCTAACCATATTTGGCAGATGGACGTCACATACTTGCCAGAATTTGGAAAATTAAAATATTTGCATGTTACAGTTGATACTTCTTCCGGATTTTTGATGGGCTCCCTTCATGCCGGAGAAAAAACTAAAGATATTATAGCTCATTGCTTACAAAATTTTGCCACTGTGGGCGTTCCAAAACAGTTAAAAACAGATAATGGTCCTGGCTATACTTCTACCTCTTTGAAACAACTTTGCTCATCATTTGGCATTACTCATATAACAGGAATCCCATACAATCCACAGGGACAAGGCATAGTTGAAAGAGCTCATCAAACTATTAAAATGTACTTATTAAAGCAAAAAGAGGGAATTGGAAAGGGGTATATATCCCCCCAAAGATACACTTAAAATAACCCTTTTTACTCTAAACTTTTTAAATTTGGATTCATCAGGGCTTAGTGCTGTGGAAAGACATATGTGTCCAAAAAAATGTACATAAGCCCAAGGTACTTTGGAAGGATATTCTAAAAGGACAATGGAAAGGTCCTGACCTAGTGATTGTCTGGAGTCGGAGGTCTGTTTGTGTGTTTCCACAGGGAGAACAACAGCCGATTTGGATTCCAGAGAGACTAACCAAAGCGATTTCTACAGACCAAAAAGAAGATGACTTGGCTCAAATCCATAACAGCTGATATCCTTACATCTGCAACAGTGGTTCTCCCACACCTGGAGGCTAATGAATAATGAACACCATTAAAGCCTATTTCAAATATAAAAAACCTTGGGGCTTGCTTGTGGGAATACCTTCAGACCCATTATGCAAGTTACAGGAAGGATGGAATATCAAAAGAAGAGTAAAATCTAGGTGGTAACCAGGATGCTTTTTTTCAATATCTATTTTATTATTGCCCTTTCCCACATCATGAAGTTCTATTTTATTTTTTGAGGTCATACAGACCTAGGTTAATGTTTTTCTGATCAGTTCTATTTTTTGACTGTGGAGTTTTTAAACATTGCAATGGAGATTTTACCTGTGAAAAGCTACAAGGCCTTTACTATTGTCTTATGTGTTGTAGATTATGTGTGCACACTTGTGTTTTGTGTTGTCTATATGTGCTTATGTCCATATATCATATATGAGGAGCGCTCCTGAAAAAATGGATCCAAATATTTTTTATTATTCACATGATTTAAATGGTGTAATTTAAATTGGGTAAACAGCTGTTGAGGATTGTTTTAATATGTGAACAAAAAAGGAGGTTAACAGATCTGTTTGTTTACTTTCACCTTTCCTTTTCATTATATTTAATAATTCTGTTCAGGATAATGTAAATTGTTCAGAAAATTGTTTTCTTAGTGCCTGCTGGAATGTTACATATTTTTTTTTTTAGCCATCGTTGCCAGAATTCCTATCTTCATCCCAGTGCCGGTGAAGACAAAGATAAAATCAAACTACAGCTTCTGCAATAGCTATCACAACAAACTGTATAAACTGATGCATCAATGAATAATGTAACTCAACAAGTGATGCTCAATCAAGGAGTCGATTTACTTTGGGAGGAAATGGACATATTAATAGATTCCTCTGCTTTGAACTGCTTGCAGAACTTGCCTGGACTATGTATCACTTGTATGAATTGTGAACTATCTGTTGGTGCAGCGAATTGTGGTAGTGCTGGAGTATCTTTGCTGATGGTGTCATCGGTGGTACAATTTTTCCAAAAGAGCCGTCATTTGGCTTGGTGTCGTGGCATTTTGCATCCTCCTCCCTTCTGCTTGCAAAGGCCAAATTTGGGGGCCAACAGAGGTGAGGCAAATAACCTCACCCCCCCCACGGGTACAAAGGCCAAATTTGGGGGCCAACAGAGATGAGGCAAAGAACTTCACCCCCCCCCACTGGTGCAAAGGCCTATCCACAATTATGGCTGTATGCTGAACCAGTAGTCAATGACGGGTAAGATCTAATTGCAATGGTACCAACCTAAGACAGGAGGCTGACAGGTTGAGGTCAGCTCATCCGATGACGGGTAAGAACCATATGTAGTATAGGCATGGTCCCTAAGCCACATTCTTGGTGTTTAATTAAACAGAAGAGGGGAGATGCTGAGAGCCACAGCCGAGTGGGAATGATGCATGGCATTTTGCCAGAAGGGAGTGGTTGACAGGTGATGCTGGGGAGCCATTGAAATGATGATGGTTCAGTTAAGCTGTGTATTCAGTTGTATATAGACCCCTGCTGTCCGCCTGGGATGCTACTTTATGGAGTTCTCACGGGGATTCCTGGGGAGTTCGTGTTGGTTGGGGAAGTTCCAGTGGAGGGAGTTCCGGTTGGTGTGTGGTGTTCCTGAGAGGGCCGTGTGGGTGGCGTCCGGAGGAGTTGGGAAATAAAGTTTGTTCCTGCTTGAGTGGCTCTTGATTTGTGCCCAGCCAGACTGAGATACAGGGGACTAACACATCCTCTGGGTTCATTGCTAGGACACTGAAATTCTTCAATTATAAGTTGTGGCTGGGCTGGGGTTGTGGCTCAGCGGTAGTGCTCATCTAGCACATGTGAGGCCCTGGGTTTGATCCTCTGCACCACATAAAAATAAGTAAATAAAATAAAAGCATTGTGTTCAATCACACCTAAAAAGAAAAATATTAAAAATAATGGTGGCAGTAGCAGGCAGAATGATGGACATCCAAATCCCAGGATCAGTTTTGCAGATGTGGGGAGTATGTTTTGCAGAAGGCCCAGTAGCAGCAGCAGCAGATCTGTGTCATTCAGAGAATGATCTCCATGGTAGTGGCCGTGGAGAGATTCCAGGTGTGTTTGGGGGTGGAATTGAAGGGATCTGCTAACAGAGGGGTTGTGGAGGTGGGGGAGGATGAAACAAGAATGACTTCTAGGTTTCTAACTTGAACAGCTAAGAGAAGGACACGCTGACAGACTAGGAAGCCTGGGGACTGGGATGGAGGTGGACTTCAAGGTGTGCGTGGTGTGCATGGGGGTGGTCAGGAGGTCAGGAAATTGTCAGTACCTTAACCTTGGGATGAAAGACACCGCGGTGGAGGTGGCAAGGAGGCAGATGAACATTTTAACCTGGAGTTAGAAGAACCTTTTTTTTCAAGAGCCAAACCTTAATGTAGACATCAAGGGTGTCCCCAGTGAATTACTGATGGGGTTTCAGTACCTTCCATTCAAGTTACCAAAGTCAGAATCAAAACCCTGAAAGGTGAATCTGATGACCTCTTTGGATACCTACAAACTATACATCAACACATATGACAAAATATTAAAAAAGGAGGCATCTAGCAGAAGAAAGAAAATCAGATCCTGTAGCCTCCAAGAAAACAGACACCACAATGCTTCTGGAATCTTCGCCCCAAAAGATTCGCTCACTGCCAGTGCTCAACACTAAGCTGCTGTTTATGTGCTGCAGAGTCCTGGGCCTTTGTTGGCTAATGGAGGCTGTAAGAGACAATAAATAGCTGAAACACATGGGTACAGGAAAGTGCAGCCCATCAGCAGCTGGGCCATGGACCCTCATAAGGCAGTCACGGCTGTTTAAAAACAAACAAATTCTGTCATCCCAGCCTGCTTCCTGTGGGAAGGGTGGGTTTCTGTCTTTACCTAAGTCTACTAATCTTCCTTCCTCTCACTGCACCCCCACCCCCGCCCTCTCTTGCCCACTCTGGGGCCTCAGTCTTGCCAAGTCAGCTCTGATTTTCACAGAGTGAGCCCCTGAATCCATCTCTCCAGCAGGCTTTCCTCTTCAGCATTCTCTTGGAAGTCTGCTCAAATGTGCCCTAATGCAAGGTCTGCACCACCCGAAACATACTCATGGCTTCCCCAGGTAACCTACTCTACTTCCCTGGACACACACCGCCTCCCCTGTTTTTCCTTGCAAGTTCCTGGATTCTTACATGTAAAACAGGTGGTTGACAAAGGTAAGATGCATATGGTTTGCTTCTGCATGCCCACTTTGAGGGTTAGAGGCAGGGAGATAAGTGAGGAAAAAACTACAATGTAAAACTTACAAAGTACACAGTCACTGGGTAAAATTTTTAGTTCAAGTAATTACCCACTGTCACACACACAGTTGTGGGTCGCTTCCTCAAAGTCCATTCACCCCTTTGTCTGCTCACAGAACCCATGAGACATTCCACTGGGGGATTTACCAACTCAGCTAGATTGCCGCTTGATTTGGGCCCATGGGCTGGAGCCAATCCCATCTTCAAGGTTACAGTGAGCACTCAGCCGGGCATGTGCTCTGTGGGTCACGGAACAACACCAGGGCCTCAGCAGGAAGAGGAAGACAATCTCTTTTCTCTTCTGGGTTGACGGAGGGAAGACTGAAGTGAGGCTATGAGAGCCTGTCTTGGGGGCTGAGGGACTGTATGTGTGGACTCAGACAAAACAGACTTTGCAGAGGGACAGTGGAGAATCAGCTAGGAACCACATCTCTGGGGACATAGAGGAGCTGAACTAATGCTGAGTCCAGACACAGAGGGCTGTGTGAGTCTGTCTTGCTGCAGCTGCAGTCAAGAGCTCTAGACTAGGACTGTGCCTGTGAGGCAGGGAGAGCACTTGTCAGGCACGCCCCAGGACCTGGGCTCGAACCCCAGCACGTCAAAGAGTTCTGTGTTACAAACTCACAATCCCGCTGCCCCTTGGGTTCATTTCATTCACTTTAATGCTTCTACATACACAATTTCCTTAATTTTTTTACTTTTACAAAATTGAGAAAATATATATACTCTTCTGAAATATTTCACATCAATCAAACCTGTTATTATCATTTCTAAACACTGTGCAATATTCTAGGGATATACCATAATTTAACAAGTTTCCTATTACAAATATTTACATTTCCTACTATGTTACAGGACAAATTCTTAAAAATTGCTGGTCATAGAACATGTACATTCTTCAGGCTCTGATGAGTCTTACCAAATTGTCCTCCAAAAGGAATACAGCATTTATTGTCCCATCGGCATGGAGACTAGCATGTCTAGGGATAGGAGCTGACCACAGGAGAGATTCTCACTAAGACAATATTCATTTAGTTTATATTTATTGTGTGTCCATTTTTTTGCATGACACTGTGACAGGTGCTGTGGATACAGTGGTGAATAAAGCTCTCACCCCTCTTTGAGTTCTTCCGTCTCCCCAGGTGGCAGGTCTGGGCAGAGGCACTGTAGCCTAGTAACCAGTCAGGGGTGCTACACACAGTGCTGTAGCACGTGTCTGGCATCCACAGGCCCTGGGCTCGATCCCCAGCAACACACACCCAGAATTCTCTGCATATTCTGCTGGGGTGTGGCTCAGTGGCACAGTGCTTACCTGACAAGTGCTGCGTGAACCACTCAGCCCTGAGGACACAGTGGAGCCATGCTCCGCACTGACGGCCCACGTTTAGCCACTTTCTTCCCCTGTTCAGGTGGCCCAGATGCCCTGTTGCAGGGTTCTGCTAAGGGGCGGCCCACACAAGGCACTTGGAGACTAGAAGGCAGGAGGAGGCAGAAGCCCTTATGTAGCATAGAGACACATGTTCCTATAGAGGCACATGTTGGCGAAGGGACATGTGCACAGGCTGCCGTGAGGGCAGCAGCAGTGGACAGCCAGGGGTTCATGGAGCTGCTGGGAGGCAAAGGGGGCATCAGTGTCCCATGCAGGGGCTACAACAGCTACCTGTATAGTCTCAAACTCTGGATAATCCAACGCCCCCCCCCACGCTGACTCCTTCATCCCATTTAACAACCTCTACAACCTAAAGCCCAACAAATTCTCTGTTTTGCTTTCCTGAATGACAGAAAAGGCTGCCATTAAAATTACCCTTGAAAACCCAGCAGGAGTTGTCCTGAGGCTTCCGACAAGCCTCAGAGCCAGGCTTTCAATCAACGACAGAAGAAACTGCTGCTCCTCTTTTTGTTCAGCTGGATACCACATGAACGCAGTATCCAGCTTTCAGAAGACAGCTATATGGGGAGTACCATTCACAGACACTAGAGTCTAGGCAGATGGGGTGTGCAAGCAGTGACACACACCAGCTGGAGGAAGAGAAGATCCACACATCCACCTCTCGCCTTTCTGCACCAGGAATGAACTGCACCTGAGCCCTGGAGGAACAGAGTGCAGAGTGGCATGTGTCTCGGTGCTGAGTGTGCCGTGCACCCACACAACCAGCACCACGGGTGAGCCCTCCCCTCTACTGCTCTGCAGCCCCATGGGCGTGCTCCTCTCCACATAACAGCACTTTCATAGGAATGTTAGTAAGTTTCTCATGCTCCACAATAGACGCCATCACCTGCTCCGGCCATTGTAAACATCACTGCCGAAAAGAACTTTACTAAGTGCTATAGTTTGGATGCCAAATGTCCCTCAAAGGTGCACGGGTTTCTGGCCCACATCCTGGTCCTGGATGGACTATAATTTTTGAGTTTCCCTCCGTGTGAGGTAAGCTGGCTGAGAAATATAGCGAAAAACCACCCAGCACAGAAAATAATTTTCAAAGAGCGAGGGCGGGATGGCTCTGCAACCTCAGGGGTCCTGCCTCCACAGTGGGAGGAGAGAGAGAAGAGCCCACTTTTGCTTTATTTATACAAGGGGGCTGCAAAGGATTTCAATGGAATGTTCTTTTGCCAAATAAGGTAGGAGGGGGGCTGTCCAAGCCCAATGGGTAATGCCCAAGCCCGGAGCTAAAGAGCAGCCTCTCTAGCCCAGTGAAGACCGAGCTTACCACATGCTTTGTGTAATCCATTAAGTGGGAGAAGCCTCAAAATGACTTTTAATGCCAAACCAAAATCTCCTTGGCTTCAAGGCCGAGTAGAGGCTATTCAGATAGCTCAGCGATGGCCCCCCATACGTGCTAAAAGCTTGGTTCCCGGAGTGCTGTTGCCAGGAAGTGGCAGGACCTTTAAGATGAGGGGCCTGGTACAAGGTCTCCAGGGTGGGGCCTCCCCCCCCCCTCCTCTTTTGCTTCCTGGCCACGAGGCGACCAGTTCTGCTCTGCCGTGCACTCCAGCCATGCTGTGCTGCCTCACCACAGACCAAGGCAACAGGACCAACTGATCATGGAGTGGAGCCTCCAAAACTGTTGAGCCAGAACAGACCTTTTCTCTTTACAAGCCGACTGTCTCAGATATTTTGTTAGAGTAATGGAAAGCTAACATGTTAACATGTGTACAAATTAAGACAAACTAACAAAAAAGGAAAAGAAATGGTAACCTCTGCTTAACTTTGTTCTTCTGTGTCTTCTCCTTCACTATCATCTTCAGAATGAAAGATATCTCTAAATAGGAAAACCTGCTTGGGTGCTGTGGGAGTCTGGATTCTGGTCCCTTTTCTCGCCATCTTCTTTTTTAACTTTTCTTTAAGCACAGGTAGACTAGTCTTGTAAAGGTAGTCGATGATCTCTGCAGAACACAAATTTAACCTTGAAATTATTCACCTGCACAAAACCTCTTACATCAAAGAACATAGGATACAATAATGCACCGATCTTATCACCACAGGTTACTCACTTTCTCTCGCCCAGACCTTGAACAAACCCTATGAGTTAGGCCCTATTTTTAACCCAGTTTCCCAGTGAGAAAACTGAGGCAGAAAGAGCAGCTTGCCCAAGGCCATGGAGCTAATGGGGGTGCAACCTGGGAAGTGGCGTGAGCTAAATGCAGAGCAGTGCCTCAGCACACGTTCCAGAGTCCAAGGTCACCCCAACTGTGGCTCCAGGCAGAGCACCACTGCTGGGAAGGCTATAGCACACCTCCCTAGAGCATGTTATAGGGAAACCCAGATTGTGCACTCTGTACAGAGAATCTATGTTTCTAACTAGTGCCCCACAGAGTCCCGATGGATCTGAGTGTGGGAGCCACACAGCTAAACTCCCTATGGAATCAGGCACCTTCCATTCTTTCTAGAACAGTATGTCGTGTGGTGTGAGTACATGGGGAAGTGTGTGGGCTATGCTGTCTGCACACGTACACACGTGCCATGTGCACATGTGTGCACAAGTGTGTGTGACAGAAGCACCAGCAGGACACAGTTACTGAGTGGTCACCAAGTACCAAGCACCATGATAACCACATAACATGGTGCATCCCCTCACTTGGTCCTTTTGAAACTCCTGCTAGATGAGGATATGATTGCCAATATTCACCATTTTACACCTGGTGAAGCTGAGGTTCCAGGAATCACGTCACCTGCCCACATGACTGGCTCTGAGCCACCCATGTTCAAAGTACTGACCTGGAAACGTCTTTCTCTGCCAAAAGGGAACACAGGCCGCCTTCAGCTTATAAAACTTAGTTTGAACATAAGATGGAGGCACATCGCTTTAGAAAGAAAAAGATGAAAATGTCAGTTAAAAATTACCATTTCAATACTTGTGTAGTAAGCACATTTATTCAGGTGGGGGCTATAGACACACCTGGTTTTCTTATCTTGAACCTGAAATCATCACATGCATAAATGTGTGATAGAAATGAGACATATAGGGCTGGGGATGTGGCTCAAGCGGTAGCGCGCTCGCCTGGCATGCGTGTGGCCTGGGTTCGATCCTCAGCACCACATACAAAAACAAAGATGTTGTGTCCACCGAAAACTTTAAAAAATAAAAAAAAATTTAAAAAAAAAAGAAATGAGCATATAGAGTCATCTGCTGTGCACGAGGCATCCGCCAAGCTCAGTCTCCCCAAAATTATAAGAGCAGGATAACTCAAAACGAGGAAACCCAATAAAGCCAGTGATTTCAGCGACACGGCAAACCAGCCAACGCCAGGGGAGTTGTAAGGACTGGAAAAACCTTTTTTTAAAAATATTTATTTTTTTAGTTATAGGTGAACACAATGTCTTTATTTTACTTTATGTGGTGCTGAGGATGGAACCCAGTGCCCCAGGCACGCTAGGCGAGTGCTCTACCTCTGAGCCACAACCCCAGCCCTGGAAAAACCTTTTTGTAGTCTCAGAGTGTCATCAGCAAGGAAATAAGAAGCTACAAATTAGAAAAGAAGGTTGAAAAAAAGAGTAACAGTGAGAGCAAAGAAAACCGGGAACCAAAATCAGATGGTCCTGTTGAAAATGCCAGTGAGGACGAGGCGAGAGAGAGCCAATAAACACAGTGGGTCCCACTGCACTCAGGTGATACAAGACCCAAGGCAAGGGAGACCTGGACCCCAGACAGCTATTGGTGTCAACCTGAAGCAAATAAGTTATCCCAGTAATAGGAGAAATGACACATGACGCTGGAGGCAACAGAGAAACAAAGAGATGAGGAGGAGGAAATATCTGGTGTGAGGAGTGTGGGATGATATCTGCGGTTCCTTCAAAGCCAAGGAGGAAGATGAAGACCGGGAAGAGGACGAGGCAGAAAAAACCCTAAAGGGAACTTTGATCATTTGTATGGTCACCAAGAACATGGTGAAAGGACAGGTCAGCCATTTCAAAGTGAAACTGACACCAGTGTAACGCATTACGACGACAGCAGTGGGTGTACAGGTGTCTCCTGGTGGAGAAGCACTGCCTAAGGAGTGTACTGAGTGTCAAGCTGCATGTTACTTCACTAGAGAAAACTTGGAGAAAATGGATGAGCAAGCTTCCTGACTGCCTGACTTCACATCAGGCTCTCACCACAGACCTTAATCCCATTTTAGAGGCCCTGAAGGACAGCACAGAAGTAGAAGTGGATGAAAAAGTGAGGAAAAAGAAAGAGCCAGAAAAATGGCCAGCTCTGGGCCCTCCTCCCAGAAGCACGCCACAGACAGGCTTATCTTGGCTGGTGGACTGTCCCCAGTTCCTGCCAGGCCAAGCCTTTTGCTCAGGTGCAGTCAGGGTGACCATCTACTGAGGCACGACAGTGAAGAGCTCACAGAGCCAGGACGGTGGCTGGCTTTCCAGAAGCTACCTGCCTTTTCTGTGTGACTGGACTTAGGCCACATGGCTACTTTTATTTGAGAGGGAGGCTAATCATCATCACTGTGGAAATACTGCAAGGTGCTGTCTTTTGTTTCCAGGCGTATTTCCAGGTACTTGTGCCCAGGTCAATCGAGCAGAGAGCGAGGACTGTGGGCACTTCCCAGCTTGCTGACCTGGGCTCCTGTTGACCCTGCCTTTGTTGTGGCAACACTACATGACTCACGCGTCATCATGTTTCCCCTGGACAGTGAGATTCATTGATGTGGACATTTCAGGGGTAAGAAATTGAAGAAATAAACAAGGATATTTTCCCATTACTCTTCAAAATGTGTTTTTGATACACCAGTATAAATCCTGCCTGTCAAAAAGCATTAATGCCGGGGCTGGGGATGTGGCTCAAGTGGTAGCGCGCTCGCCTGGCATGCGTGCGGCCCGGGTTCGATCCTCAGCACCACATACAAACAAAGATGTTGTGTCCACCGAAAAATAAATAAATAAATATTTAAAAAAAAAAAAAAAAGCATTAATGGACGATTTCACAGAAATTTTTTTTCTCCTATCTCTTTGTCAGCCCTGTGCTTCTATTCCAGCAAGCAGCTTGGGCAAGTGTTTTAAAAGCTGAACAAATGTGACACTGTTTGCTTGCTTGTTTTTTGAAGATAAAATGGCTGATTGTAAAAGTTACATTTATTTATTGTATAAACTTGGGCCCAAGATGACATTTTTAAAAAATCTTGTTTTTAGATATACAAGAATACGATCTCTCTATTTTGTTTGTTTATTTTATGTGGTGCTAAGGATCGAACCCAGTGCCTCACATGTGTGAGACAAGCACTCTGCCACTGAGTCACAACCCCAGGCCCCTAAGATGACATTTTTAACCAGCTTATGAACAATCTTGTTAAGTTGGAAAATATAGAAAATACTTTTTCTACAGGATAATTTACGACAGTCAAGTTGGTGATGCCTGTCCATTAACTTTTTATGCATCATTAATAAAATTACAATAAAAAAGAAAGAAAGAAATGAGACACATATGAAGTTATTGCTCATTTGGACCAAAAACAACAAAGCAGCTAGGTGCAGCTCAGGCACGGAGCGCATGCTTAGTGTGTGGAAGGCCCTGGGTTCAATCGGCAGCACCAAACAGTAGCAGCTCTTCGGGACGGCTCTGCTCAGCTGAAGGAGGAAGTCACCAGTGGAGACGCGGTGTGGCAGCTAACCCATGTGGAGCTTGCCTGGGGCTGGCTGCCAATGGCCTCACACACCACCAACAATCCTCGAAATACTCTGGGCTGGAGCTGCTCCTCTCCCTCTTCTCCCTCTCACTTTGGAGGTGAGGAAATTGAGGCACAGCTAACAAAGGCGGGTGCTAGGACTTGTGCTGAGTAGTCTACTCCAGATCTACACCCTGGTCACCACCCTTCAGACAGGTACATTTGTCACAATTCCAAGGTGGATATATATTTTTTTATGTGCAAAACTAAACAAACAAACAAACAAACAAAGCCTACGGTGTTTTGATTTTCAATTTACAATATATTTCAACTAATAATAAGCAGGACAGAAACAACCAAATCTAATATTGTTTTTAAAGTAAAAATCACTTAACTAAACTATCTGGATTTTTTTTTTTTTTTTTTTTGTACTGGGGACTGAACCCATTGGATCACACCTCCAGCCTTTTTAATATTTTAAGACAGGGTCTTGCTAAGTTACTCTCTCACTAATTTGCTGAGACTGGCTTTTAACTCTTGATCCTCCTGACTCAGCCTCCTGAGCCATGGGATGATAGGCGTGTGCACCACGCCCAAAAAGGAAGAAAAATTTAAAAGGAGCCAAGCACCCATCTTAAAAAGTGGAAAAACAAAGCAAAATATTGACTCAAAGAGAGCTGGGAAGTTTTAAGAGACTTTGAGCACATTCCATTTACCTTTAGTGTCTTCAGTGGGGGTGGAGGTGGGACGGTTGATCAGATTTGCTGATCCACAGTACACAGAGTTCTTTTTTGGGGGTGTGGTGTTGGGGATTAAACCCAGGGCTTGTGCACGTGAGGCAAGCACTTTACCAACTGAGCTATATCCCAAGCCCCAAAGTTCCTGAATACACATGTTTATGTAACATGCACGTACCCACCAATGCTCCACGCAGTTTGTCACCAAGAATATATCTTGGAGCTCTCTACTGCCACCTAAAGGCTTTCTCATTCTCTCCTGAGCTACACAGTATCTCACCACACCAGAGCCATCTATCTACCCACCCAGGACACTATCAGTGGGCAGTCAGGCTGTTCTAGAAAAACACTATACATTACATTGTTCTGCACAGAAGTCATTTCAATTTTGTGTGAATTTATTCTGTAGAATATATTTCTAGAAATGGAATTACTCAATTCCAAATAGATTCACTCAAAAGGAAAAATTAGAATTTTCAATGGCACTGAGGCCATAGAGCACATCAAATCTGCCACATATTAACAATGTCCAGAGGGGGAAACACGGAGGCTTAGCAAGGATGGCTTGAGCTACTGAAGGGGGTGACAGAAGCAAAGGGCCATTTGTTTTGTATTTGTCTAAACTTTCTCTGACAAAAAGTTCCGGGGGGTGAAAAAAAAACTACAATGCTGGTAAAATAGTACATAGAGGAAAACATATGGCTTTGAATTACAGCAGAAAAAAAGAAAAATTTAAAAGAAGCCAAGCACCCATCTTAAAAAGTGGAAAAACAAAGCAAAATATTAACTCAAAGAGAGCTGAAGGAAAAATACAATAAAGAGCAGAGCAGACCCAAAAACAACCAGCAGAGGGTGGGCAGCTCAGAGCTGGTTCTTTGAAAAGACAACCTCTATGACTCTTGTTCAGGGAGAGGAAAAATCGGAACAGTGCTCCTGTTCTGTAGCAGGCACCTAGGGTAGGATGCCCAGGAGGGGCACTGGTGTGGGCTTCCGTGGGGCTGGGGCCACCCTTCACTGTTTCCCCTCCCAGCAGCCTCTCCAGTTCTGGACCGTGTAACCTACTTCCTATTCTTTAAAATATTATAAATCTCACACAATAAGCCCAAGTCCTTCTTCCTTTTGGGTGTGGGTGTAATATTCAATTCTGTATTTGCATTCTCATATGCCTCTAAAAAAATCCTAACTAGAACACAGTCCCAGAACCACATTAACTCACCAGAGCAAGAGCAATGGCAGGACATTATAACCATCGGGGAGCTTGGAAAACAGAGGACACCCAGGCTCCACCCCAGACCATCACTCCTGGACTGCCTGGCTGTGGCATCAACATTCCCAAAAAGCTCCCCAATGAGCTCAATGTGCAAGCTGGGCTGAGAACCCAAGTCAGGGCGCCACGAGGGTCACAAAGCTCCAGACTAGGCACACAGGGAGAACCGTAACCACTGCCATGTCTGCAGACAGTGCCATGTCGTCATAGCACTCATGACACTCATATGTCTCAGTAACTTGGGATGCAGGGCAGCCTGGCTCAACCGCTGCCGTCACACACCCTGGCCATCCTTTGTCCCTCTGATGTGCCAGCCACTGCCTGCCTCCCCTGACTTTCACATTGCTCCCCTCTGCCTAGGACACTCTTCTACTCCCATCTGGTTTATGTGTTGCCCTTTGTGACCACCTGGAGAGGTCTTCTAACCATCCTATGTCATGACTCCCTCCCCAGGTCTCTTCTACCCTACTTTATTATTTTGTTAGGACCCAAGCTGTCTGAAACTAGCTTACTTGCTTACAGTCTTTGTTAGAGGAGAGGTGAGCCCTGGAGTCCTAACTCACTCGAGTCTTGTGTGTCTCGTATGCAATACGGGGTCAGGAAGTAAACTCCGTTACTGCCATCACTGCTGTCAGCATAGTTTGTTGAGGGTTTTTAGGTCAATTCCTTAGTATACAAAAATATCTCTATCAACGGAACAGAAGCTCTGCCAGGGAAAGCAGCTGTCTTGTTCAATGCTGCATCTTGAGGCCAGGAAAACGCATGGCACACAGCTGCTCATCCTGGTAGATGAAGAGCGACTGGGCCTTAATTTTCTAGTAAAGAGACTGAAAAGGAGCACACGCCAGAACCTCTTGGTCTCCAAGGCAGAGTGTGCACAATCTGTCTCTGCCGCCTCGCCTGCCATGGTCAGTGGACAGCATGCTGACACTTTCCTAGTTACAACCATATTTTTGGGGGGGGAGGTGGGGTACAACCAGGGATTGAACTCCGGGGACATTCAACCATGGAGTCACATCTCCAACCCAATTTTTGTGTTTTAATAGAGAAAGGCTCTCACTGAGTTACTTAGTGCCTCACTATCGCTGAGGCTAACTTTGAACTCGAGATCCTCCTGCCTCAGCCTCCCGAGCTGCTGGGATTACAGGTGTATGCCACCACGCCCAGTCTACAATCATATTTTTCAATTGAACACTCAACTAAGTGGGCTGGGGTCACAGTATCATGCTCTACCTGAAGTCTAATCTCAGAGCACTTCGGGTATGACGAGCCACAGCCCTCAAGTGCACAAACACACAGAAAACAAAAAACGTCCAATTAATGCTATTTAGTGAAATGAAAGCTTACCTAGCTAACAACTCAGTACCTTTAATTGTCTGCTTCTAAAATTTATTATTTACTCTGAGTTACATCAAATTGGTTATCTTGCAAACCGGATTAATTTTAAGTATCATTTACACATAATTCCATATGCAGCATGAATTTCAGACCCACTCTTTAAATTCTGAGTCATCTCTAGTTTGTAAGTAACTTAGTATTTAACAAATGGTCTTACCCTATGGCACTAGCAAGATCTTCCCAATCTATTTCATTGGCGTCTTCCACATTTATTTCATATAATCTGTAAGAAAGAACAATGAAAATCTCAAGCAAAAATCAGGACAAAGCACATCTTCATGGAACCCCGGGATGTCAATGGCTGGAGGCAGCTGGGGTGTTTGTCCCATCCAAGGCCAGGCCACCAGGCATGTCAGTGACTGAGCATCTGTGCTCAGCACTTGAAGCACGACAGCCATGGTGTGAAGACCTTTCTGCATCGTCACTTAGAGTGACCCTTGACATCTGTGATGAGGTCGGGGGACAAGGCCCATTCTAGACTCAAGGAAATGGGATTGACAGGCAGGCCACTTGCTCAAGGCTTCACAACTAACAGGTGTGCCAGCACTGGCCCCAGCCTGCCTGACCTGACCTGCTCGTCTATGCTGTCTGTCTCTCTGGCAAGGGAAGAAAGGTGGCCATGTAACTAGCCAGGCGAGTATCGAGAACCAGGAGGCACCCCAGTGAACCAAGCAGAAGGGCTGACAGGGCGCCCAGAGCCAAGCTCTCCGCTCTTTGCTGTTAGTTGGTCAATACAAGCCCAGGCCACATCTCCTTTGCCCTTGGAACGCTCCTGGGAAGACTCTAAGAGACCAAGCCACAATGCAGAGCAGCAGGGCTCTGTCTGAATTTTCTACTCACATTTTCCAATGGACAGAAATAACTCCCATCCATAGGGAAAGCTCTGAAGACTGAAATAACCAGTGAAGGAGTACACAGAATGCTCCATGCACATGTCTCCACCCGACCCTCCCAAGGACAGCAGGAGGCAGGGAACTTCTCATCTTCAGCCTCATTTAAGGCAAACAAGCAGACTGAATTTGTTCCACCCACAGTACCTGTAGAAAGTGCCAGAGCTTGTACCTAACCCTTAGCAATGACACGGCAATCTCTGCTATGTCAACAGCCACTCTGGCTAGAGAGAAAACCCATTAAAATAGCACCAAGTTCTGTCCCTGTACCTTTCAATAAGGTTGATTTTGGCCTGCAGCGCGTTCACTCCACGATACACAAACCCACCATTAGTCATCCTCTTGGTCAGAATTTCCGTCCTGTGTGAAAAGGAATAAAAACTTCTTTTTTATTTCTAACATTTCGATGACTTTCTAATGTTCAACACATTTACCATCATCAAGAACATACCTATTTGAAGAAAAAAAAAGAAAAAAGCAGGAAGGAATCAGTAAAATGATAGAAAGTTATTGATTTCTTAAATTTGAATGATGGATGGGAAATTCTACAAATTATAAAATTTTCGTAACGAAAGTTTTAAAAAGGGAGGAAAAAAAATAAGCCTATTAACAGGTGCTATGCCTATTAAAGGTGCTGTTTAAACTCAATTCACGGGCTAGGGCTGGGGCTCAGCAGTAGCCACTTGCCTGGCATGTGTGAGGCACTGGGTTTGATTATCAGCACCATGTGTAAATAAATAAAGGTCTAAACAACAACTAAAAAAATAAATAAATAAACTACTCAATTCACCTTTGTTTATACAGCATATGGACACTGTCCTTGTTACCATTCCCAGTGTCTGGAACACCAAGCAGAGCACATTTAGAAAAGTAGTAAGAGAAGTAATGAGCCTTCTAGTGTCAGTAAAGCTCTGAGTGACAGTGCTCACCCAACTAAACACTTAAAAAAAATACTAATCTTGAAGAATGAAATTTGGTACAATCTGATGGACAGACTGTTAGCTCTTCAGATCACATTCTTGATAAAGGAGATGCTAGGCACCCACGTAGGTGACCGACACTGATCTCCCCAACAGCCCGTTGTTCACAGGTTTGAAAAGTATCACCTGAGGCCACTTCAGTGTTACCTGAGGTAGACATATGTTCAGCATGCAAAGTTTCCCATTTTAAAATTACAAACACTTTTGTCTGCCTTAAATGTGTTGATTCTGAAGGGCACCAGCCTTGATCACCCCCGCTGAAATGCTCAGCCGTCACCTCCTGCTGCAGCTTGGGCAGAAGGGCTCTGCTCCCTCCGTGTCACATGCCCCCAACACTCTGTTCTCTGGAGTTTCCCTAAGTGTAGTCTCCCATGAAAACCAACAAATATGGGGCTGCGGCTGCAGCCAGATAAGGACTGAGCCTCTGGGTGACTGACCAGGGTGCCACTGGCTCACTGCAGGTGAGAACAGAAAAGCCAGAGAGAGCAAAGCTAAAAAGGCAAAGCCACAATCAATGACCACCATTCTCAGGACTTCTCTTCTAAACCCGAGTTTCCTACCATTAAAAAAAAAAAAAAAATGCTCTCTATGGGCTGGGGATGTGGCTCAAGTGGTAGCACACTCGCCTGGCAGGCGTGCGGCCCGGGTTCGATCCTCAGCACCACATACAAACAAAGATGTTGTGTCCGCTGAAAACTAAAAAATAAATATTGAAATTCTCTCTCTCTCTCCCTCTCAAAAAAAAAAAATGCTCTCTAGTTTTATAAACGAAATAAAGTCAGAGTCAAAAATCAGAATTCCATTTCATTATTAAAAAGGCTTAAGTTCTGGGTGAAGAAGCCATTTGTTCCAGCATGGAACACTCCTCAAGCCAGCAGCTTGCACCTATCTTTGAGTCAGAGCAAATCAGGTGCTCATTTAATTCAGATGTTGACACTGGAGCAGTTGGGGCAGTGGGCCGCAGAAGTTCACTTCTGACCTGTGAGTGTGCATGGATGTTCTTAGCAGCCTCGCCTCTCCGCCCTAAACCAGTGAGCAACGCAGGAGAGTCTTGTTGAAGTTTGTATTAGAAGTCGTAAACTTACCACTTACTTTTGCACTGCATCCAATTTCTGGTTTCCACTTTAGCTTCCACTTCCACCCAGGATATGCCCTTGTAGAGTTTTTCCCGGACGATTGACAGGCGACCTTCAGGATTCTCTTGGAGCTGTGAATCCATCTCTTCCATCTCCTGGGGAGACATTTTCTTTAAAATCACCTCTTCAACAGCCTTGATGAGCCTCCGTGTTTCCGTCTTATTCCAAGCACCGTGATTTCTTTCTGTAGACATAAAAGGATGGCCTTGTAGCTGCTAATCTACATGCTTTCAAAAATAACCCGAAACAAGAAAAAGTCAGGCACTTGTCAGAAGATAATGGACGACATCATATTACAAACAAAAAACCATCAAATTGGGGCTGGGGTTGTGACTCAGTGGTAGAGCACTTGCCTAGAATGTGGGAGGCACTGGGTTCGATTCTCAGCACCACATAGTAAATAAATGAAATAAAGGCCTATCAGCAACTAAGAAAGTATTAAAAAAAAAAAATCAAACTACATGCTAATTTTTTTTTAAGTTTTAGTTGTAATTGGACACAATACCTTTATTTATTTATTTTTATGTGGTGCTGAGGATCGAACCCAGGGCCCCCGCACGTGCTAAGCAAGCACTCTACCTGAGGCGCTCTACCGCTGAGCCACAATCCCAGTCCAAATTACATGCCAATTTAAATAAAATTATTAAGCTTTAGTATTTGGCCATGACTCTTTTTCAGAACCAAAGCCAGAAATTATTAAACAGACGTCCCAGGCTGGCCGTGTAGCTCAGTGGTATAGAACTTGCAGTGTGCATAAGGCCCTGGGTTCTGCCCCAGTGCTGGAAAAAAAGTCCTTTCTTTAAACAATGATTTCATTCAACTTCAATGAAGTTGTTCTTCCTGTTTCCAAGAGCAACGTCTACTACGCGACACTGTGAGGCTCCCAAGCATGTGTCAGGAAAGAGTCCAACGACTTTCTTGTCATGCACACACCTCCCTCCTCAGCTCCTCCTGTGATATTGGTGGTCACTGTGATGCCCACCCAGCACTTGACAAGAGGTCCCAGAGTCGCCCTAAGGCCATCCTCCTGTGCAGATGTCAAGAAGCATCAGAGGAGCTTATTCCCTGTGGACAGGCAGGTGTCAGAGCATTAGAGTTAGCATCAGACCACAGCCTGCACAGGGCTTCAGTTTGGCCCCCAGAGTATTATCCCCTCCTGCTCCACAATAATAATTTGGATAAATATTTGGAAATAAAGAGATTTCCAAAGGGAGAAAAAAGATACTTAGAATTCACAAAAATTTATTTTTGGTACCGGGGATCGAACTCAGGGGTACCCAACCACTGAGCCACATCCCCAGCCCTATTTTGTATTTTATTTAGAGACAGAGTCTCACTGAGTTGCTTAGCACCTCACCATTGCTGAGGCTGGCTTTGAACTTGTGATCCTCCTGCCTCAGCCTCCTGAGCTGCTGGGACTACGGGCGTGGCCACCGTGCCTGGCACAAAATATTTTTAAAATTCCAGATTTTTGCTTTTCTTCTTGGAAACTGAAAGGACTGGCTGCATCACACTACTTGACTGCCAGAACACGGACTCTGTGTTCAATACACCCCACCTGAGGCCCGTTTTCTCAGAGCAATCTGGGACGTTTTAACGGGAAGAACGTAATTAAAGGAACTTTCTCTAAATGAAGAGTAAAACTGACAGAAGACACCAGTGCTTTTCCTCCCTGCCAAAAGGCCACCGAGAGCGCACTTCCCTCCCACAGGCTCCTCCACCTAGCTCCCCATCCAGCCTCCGTGGCAGTTATATTCTCACTAAACTTAGATGTAGTCAAAACCAGTGTAGTAAAGGTAGCACAGGTTCACTGAATGCATAAAAAAGTGAAATGAATGAGCAGAGAAAATGACCCTAAAATAAAGAGTGCTCTCAGAGGCCAGCCAGCAGCAACCTCTGGGGGCTGGCTCAGTTGTGGCTCCTTCACCATGAGGTGAGTCACTTACGACTGCTGATCTGGGAGAACTTCAGGGCAACCGAGAGGCTGCTTCGGGCCACCATGGCTCCAATCTTTTTCCAGTCGTTCCCGTGGAGGGAATGGTATGCCTTCAACTTCTCCGTATCTCCTTGGCTATACCTGAGAGAAGAAGAATGTTCCTAAAAATGGTAATCACTGTAGCATGCTGCCAGCATGGGAAGAGCCAAATGCAGGGCGCCAGGAGCCTGCATCCAGGCCTGACGATCCCCGCTCCCATCCCTGCATCTTAGGATCTCAGCAGAGCAAATAACTTCTCGGTCCATTTTCACCTCCCAGCCTCTGTACCTGTGGTGGAGGCAGTCCGCTGACCCGCTACCTGAACAGCAGTACAAAGGTGCCCCTCAGAGAGGGCTGCCCTGCTCCCCTCCCCAGCTCTGGTCATGACCTGCAATTACACATCACGGGCTCTCGCTTGCTGGTGTGGCTTCCTCTAGACCATGGCTGCCTGATAGAAATATGTTAGCCTCACAGGGATTCACTTTCATGGAGTATTAATGAAATTAATTGAAGAATACATTCTCTTTAACCCCATGAAGAATGCTATCATTTCATTATGTAATTCGTATCAAAAAACACTGAGCTGTTTTACATTCTTTCCTTCATATCGGGCCTCCCAAAGCCAGTGTTTCCTTGACTCTTGCAGCACACCATAATTTGGACCCACTAGGTTTCAAGCGTCCAACAGCCACCCGAGGCTGGTGGTCATATTGTGGATGGCCCAGCTCTGGAATGGAAGTTCTACAAGGACAAGGACCCTGCTGGTAATGTCCTCTATGGTATCCACAATGCCTAAGAGACAACAGATATTCAGTAAACATGTAGCCAATGGCTGAACACAAATACGTATCTTTTTAAAGATTTAAAATGCACCAACCCCATGAAAAAACAATTACCAAAAAAAGCACTATAAAATTAAAAATACATTTGAGATTAAAATACCTTAAATATTTTAAGTGAAATAAAGCAATCATTCTAATAAACTAAGATTCCTAACCCTCAGTATGGGTAGAGGAACGCAGGTTATGTTACTGCTTTGGCAAACAAAAGAAGTTCTAGGAAAATACTAATTCCTGATAATAGCAATCCAGAACTCCTTCAGCACAATAACATCTTAAGGCTTTCAGAAACTCATTGTCAATGCAGACCACTGGAACTCTACAGGGACTCTACGCTCTTCATTATTAAGAATAATGGTGGGGCTGGGGTTGCGCCTTGCACGTGAAGGGCCCTGGGTTAGATCCTCAGCGCCACGTAAAAATAAATAAACAAAAATAGAGGTACTATGTCCAACTACAACTAAAAAAAAAATAAAAATAAAAAATAAAAAATGAAGAATGGTGTTGGGGCTGGGGTTGTGGCTCTGTGGTACAGTGCTTACCTAGCACGTGTGGAGTGCTGGGCTCAGTCCTCAGTACCATATAAAAATCAAATAAAGGTACTGTGTTCAACTACAACTAAAAAACAAAATATTTTTTAAAAAAAGAAGAAGAATGGTGTAGCTGGGTGTGGTGATGCACACCTGTAAGCCCAGTGGCTCAGGAGGTTGAGGCAAGAGGATCAGTAGTTCAAAGCCAGCCTCAGCAAAAGCGAGGTACTAAGCAACTCAGTGAGACCCTGTCTCTAAATAAAATACAAGATAGGACTGGGGATGTGGCTTTGTGGTCAAGGGCACCAGAGTTCAATCCCCAGTACACACACACAAAAAGAATAATGGTATAAAACAAAACCTCCTAGTACTTCCCCCTCAAGGTAGTCAGGGTCTTCCTGAGATAAAACAGCAACTTAAAGATGCTTGCAGCAACAGTACAAGGGAACTAGGAGGGATAAGTGTACAACAGGGAAAGAGATGTGCTGACCTAAATTCTAAACCTAAAGCCTTGGTCTTTGACTTCCTGGTTCCTTTCAGTGAGGAACTCTTCGGTTAAAGAAAGACTCTAAGGTAGTGACCACCCCAACACAAATCATGTGGCACAAACAAACAAATTAACTTCTTAAATCATTTCAATAATAAGAGTATTACTATTCCAAAGTTTATTCTCGTACTTATGTTGCAAGCAAAAACAGGTTACCCTTGCTGCCACCACAGACTTGCCAAAGGCATGCTTTTAAGTGCCATTTAAGACTCCGTCTTCAGTGAATTTTCCTAAAGCTCTACTCACACTGTCTAATCTTGGAGTTTGGGAAAAGGGTAGGGTGGGTCTGTGTGTGGAAACTTTCCTCACCCAAAGTTGAGAGTAAGAACCACATTAAGCGCTCTGCATAGAAACCCCAGAATTGCATGTAAATGACCTAATGTTCATTTTTACTTCCACCTTTAAACCCAGAGAATTGTGCTAAAAGGCAGATGGGTGCATCATGTGCGGAGCGCTGAAGTCCACAGGCACTTATGACACAGAGGAGAGCAGGGGTGGTGGTGAGAGAGGAAGGGCGTGTTGAGTGCTAAACCAAACACAAAGGAATGCCGAGATTCAGGCAGAGGTTACAAAAGGATTATTAAAGAGGTGGAAACCTTAATGTTTTGAACAACCAATAAAAAAAAAAAAAAAAAAAAAAAGAGGTGGAAACTTAAAGGACCTTGAAGACAAATTGAAAAATATCCAATCCAGTTTTGCATGTAAAGTTCCTCATGACTTTTGTTTTCCATCTGGTGCTAAGGATATTTTGATTTATAATGTCAGCAAAGAACTTTTTCTCTAGAGAAAAAAGTTCTGGCTTGAATTACAAGACATTTTTCTTACCTGCCTTTGTAATTATTGACGTCAAACATCTTTTTTGCTCGATAGTATACGAGTTTCCAGGGCCGAGCAATGCCCTTACCTACAGTCAGAAGAAACAAGAGTCAGAGGGGTCTGAAAAGGCTGGAGTGAAATAGTCACAACTGCAGCAGGGACCCAGGACAGCCTCCCTCTGTAGCTGCACTAACTATCCTCAGCCCCGTGCTGGTCCCGCAGAGCTGGCCTGGGGAGCAGACGCCTGCCATCATTGCTGCCCTGGAGAGCTTTGCAAACTGGATGCTAAGGCACTGGAGACTCCAGATTCTGGTCTACTCAGTTCACGGAAAAGACCCATAGAAGGCAAAGTATTTTTAACATCATTTGAATTAAAAAGAGAAACACCCTAAGGCAGGGGACACACATCAACAGTTCTCCATAAGATGAAACTACATTTTTCTTGCTTTCCCTCTCTAGAAGACACCACCCCACCCTCCTTTACTTGGCTCCTTTACTGCATGGCCTCCTAATCTCCCACAGCATCCTGAAGGAGGGCCCCAGCCCCAAGCACACAGCCCACCTCAAGAACTGCAGGAGACCAAGGTGCATGTAGGCATGGGCTTTGTGCAGCACATGCAGAGTAACAAGAATGGGACAAGACACCAAAAGCCACAAATATTGCCAAGTAGGAAAGACCAAAAGTGATCACTTTTTTTTTTTTTTTTTGATACCAGAGATTGAACCCAGAGGCACTTTACCACAGAGCCACATCCCCAGCCCTTTTTATTTTGAGACAGGGTCTCACTAAATTGCTTAAGGACTAAGTTGCTGAGGAAGGTCTCAAACTTATGATCCTCCTGCCTCAGCCTCCAGGGTTGTTGGGATTACAGGCATTTGCCACCGTTCCTGGTTTAACTTTATTTTTCACAAAATTCATAAAAGCACTGCAGCTGGGAGACATGGACACGTTCCAAATCCCCAAAAGTTCAGACTGGCAGTAAGAATGCTATTCACCACAGCAGCAATTAATACGTACTGCAGGCAGGGGATGGGAAAACTGGAGGGTCAGGGTAAGCACTTCTGAACTCACCAATGTGCACCCTAAACGCATGCTTTCTTTTCAATTCAGTAATGGCAGACTTCTCCTCTGGGTATCTGTCTGTGTATAGCAGCTTGTCCGCATTTTCAATTCCTGTCAGAGACAGAAATTCTTGCACATTTTTCTCTATCTGCTTATTTTCCTTTGCAGAAAATTTGCCAAATCTAATAGCAACACCTTAGGATTGAGGAGGGGAAAGGGAGAGAGAGTAGGTTTTGTCAGTAAGAACAAAAGCAAACCCCTGGCTCTTAGAACACCAGGCCCACCTGTGAGGAGCAGCTGGGCTGGTGCCCTTGCCCTCCATCCCAAACCCCACCTTCAGAACCCCTCCCTTCCTTCAGATTTCCCCCAAGGTCCTCCCTGCTCATCCCAGTCAACTTTCCTACTTCATCAATCTTCTAAAAATAGTTAATATTTATATTAACTATTATGAATAAGATATATTCATTAAAAATCCAGATAGCATTAAGTGAAAAGTTTAAAAAAAAAAAGTCCCTTCCCTCCCCACATGGAGGGTGGTGCTCTGCCTAGGCCGGCAGGAAAGTGTCAGAGGTGTCCAATACACTCTGGGGAAGGGCAGCAGACATCACACCCTCTTCCTGTTCACCAAGCAAAGCACTCATTGACTGCTACACAGTATATTTTTCTTTCTTTTCTTCCTTTTTTATGTGCTGGAAATCCAAAGATTGTCTTTTTGTTCTCAAATTTATTCTAAAAATACTTTTCTTTGGTACCAGGGATTGAACCCAGGGGCACTTCACCACTGAGCCATATCCCCACCCTTTATATTTTGAGATACGGTCTCACTGAATTGCTTCGGGCCTTGCTAAGTTGCTGAGGCTGGCTTTGAAATTGCAATCCTTCTGCCTCAGCCTCCCAAGTCACTGGGATTAAGGTGTGTGTAATTGCACTCAGTCTAAGAATACTTTTTATGAAATACATAACTCAAAAAATTTCAAGATGGGGCTGGGGTTGTGGCTCAGTGGTAGAGCGCTCGCCTCACATGTGAGAGACCCTGGGTTCGATCCTCAGCACCACATATGTCCATGTATAACTAAAAAAAATATTTTAAAAAAATTTTAAGGTAATGTTAATAAAAAGGATTAAAATCAATAAAAAGGATGCTTAGAAACTACTCTATAAATGGTGTGCACATGTAGTTTGTCTATTTCTACATCTCTTCAAACTGATAAACTCGTTTTACTTTCTTCACTGACCAGTGCTATTGGGCCTCCCCTGGTAGACATGCAGGAAATGGTGCTCATTTGCAGAACACAGCCTACACCAAGCACTGAACCAAGGAGAGCAGGTTCTGCCTGCTGGAGTCCATGCCCACCACAACCAGTTCATCCTCAAATCACCATTTTAGGGAAAGAAATTACACTTCATCTCAGTTGACATTAAGCTGCCAATATTTTAATTTTATTATCTCCCTTGTGTCCTCCACCAGAAGTGGGGCAAGGAGGAAAACGCAGGCCCTTCATTTCGTCATTCCACGGCTCAGAAAACAACACTGGGAGGAGAGAGCCCAAGGGGCTAAAGGATGTTTTTTCTGTGAATCTGTCAACCTGAATCACTCACGACACAGCCCAGGAAAGTCCAACCTCCACTAGGGGCCACAACCTCACCCTGAGCTTTAAATTCTTTAAACCGTCCCAAGTCGTCACGGTACATCCGCTTGATGGTAGTGGCAGCCCTGTCCTTTATGTCAGGAATGAACTCCTGGAGCTGCCTCACGGCGGAATCCAAGTCCACATCTGAGTCACCAGACTCTCTCTGCTCTTCAGATAAACGTCTTGCTGTGGAATCCCCAGGCAATGCCAAGCCATGCTCTTCCTCAACTGCAGGGTTTAACCTAAGAGGGAAACCAGGTTAAACACTGACTATCGCTTGCCCTGACGGCCAGTCAACTGCTTTCCTAAATGACCCTCAGTCTACCAGAGTTCAAGTTAGACAGGACCTTGGAGTTGATTCAGCTCATGATTCTCAACGTAACTTGATGTACATGGATATGTGTCCAAGGTGGCCTAGGAAGTAATGTGAAGCCCTAATTCTACCAAATACTGTTTATACTACTATTTCTCATCTTTTTTTGATTTTAGATATTAACTCTCATCAGTAAAACCCTCTTTTATTTCCACTAAGAATCAGAATTGAAAAAACAATTCTTCCAGACCCTCCCAATGAGCTGAGCTTTATAACACGATGTTACCAAACGGTTAGGTCAGTGTTCCGGGTTGGCATAGTCAGAGTTGTTTTTACTCAGATAGTTAGGGCCTCATTTTCTCCTCTGATTTATTTTCTATATAGGTACTGTAAGTCCTCCCCAAACTCTCTGCAAGGCGCCCCCATCTGCCCTTAGTATGCTCGGTCACATCAGCGACCCTCTCAGACTGGCACCACCGGAGGGAAGGGAGAACAGCTTCCAGAAACTCACAACTGAGGTGAGCTAAGAGCCACACTCCTGCCTCGCAGCAATCAGTGGTCTGGAAACTGATCTGGGTATCAGTTTGGGAAAAGGGTCGGGTGGGTCTGTGTGTGGAAACTTTCCTCACACGAGGACAGAGGACACAAGTGGGCCCATGACTCTCATCAACGCCACCTGACATGCCCTCCTCATAACTTTCATGTGGAAATATTTTAAGCCAGAACAGGCGTGAGAAAGTCACTGAGTCAAAATGGGGAGAAAATCGGTCCTGAGGGACTATGAGATAAAGTGGTCTTTAAAAAACCTCTTTATCTTCATCCATCATATAGCATACTTAAATGGTATTTATATAAATAAGGGTTTCACTAAATTAACATGTAGTGACAATATTAAACCAAGATTTTTTTTTTTTTGGCTGTTCTACAGAATGTGAAGTATAGTATATCAAATCCTTCTTCCTTTTTATGGATGCATTTTGGGATCTTAAATATCTTTTCAACTTATATAGTTTCAGGATTCAAAATAGCTCTTACTGAAATCTAGTTTAATTGCTTTCCTTTAGACATGAAGATATTAAGCCACCTGCCAAGTGTGCTCAACTAAATATGTGCATTATTCTGCATGTGAAAGCGCCTGTGACACCTGCCACTTACTGCCCTGTGCTGAAGGAAGAGGCCTCACGCACACAGCACAAGGCAGCCACTCTCACCTACCTCTGCGCCTCTGGCACCTGCTTCTCCCCCTGCGCGGCCTGGGCTCTCCCCTCTAGGGGCCGGACTGTCACCCTTTCTTCCATCATGGTGCTTTCGCCCTCCGGTGAACCAGAGCGCGTGTTCCCAGAGTTTTCATCCAGTGCTGAAGAACCACCAGACTCCACAGGGCTTTCCGTGGAGACGTGCCTCCTCCTCTTGGCCTTCTTCACAGCACTGGACCTTCTCACCCTCTTTAGTGTGTCACTGCCTTCTCCAGCCTCTGCTTCAATGGCCACCTGAGGTTCTTTGGGGGGATGGTGAGCTAGATCCCCAGGCCCCGCTGAGGCCTCCCATTCCTGCACGCTGGACCTTTTCCTTTTTTTTTTCTTAGACTTCTTTTTACCAGTGGACACTGGTGGTTCTGAGATTTCCCCTTCAAGGCTCAGAGAAAACAAGGGTGGCTGAGCCGGTGACTCCAGCTGGGGCAGTACATTGCCCCCTCGAGGGTCCTCGGGTGCTGCGACTCCCCCCGGCTGGCTCCGACTCTTTCTCCCCCTGGCTCCGCTCCACGGCTCCTCTGGCCCACCTTTAGGAGACTCAGTGGCCACGTGCTCACCCACCACACACCCTTCTGCTGAGTTTTGCTCTCTGCTGATATCTACGTAGACGACATCCACGTCTCTCCCCAAGTTCTTGGGCGTGTTCTCAATGTTTTCTTTATCCACGAGGACATAAGCAACCCCTGTTTCCCGGTCTACCCCCAGAGCACTCTTTCTCCTCTTTTTCTTCTTCTTGTTTGTAGAAGTAGCCTTTTCAGTCTGATCACAGATTTCTGGTTTTTTCAAAGGAGAAGAAATTAGAAGCTGGAAATCTTTTTTCTTCTTACTCTTAGTTATTTGAAGCTGGTCACCTTCCAGAGGGGAGATTCTGAAACTTTCATGGGTATGTTTCTGGGGTCTTTCCTTATATGCAAAGTACTTTTTGTTCTTCTTGTCAAAAACTGGAGTATAATTCTCAAATCTGTTTGACTCTCCTTCCATTTTATTCCTACAGGGAAATGTGACAACAACTTTTATTTAATTTTTAAATGTATTTGCATTTTATTTTATTTTATTTTGGTACTGGGGATTTAACCCAGGGGTACTTTACTGCTAAGCTACATCCCCAGCTTTTTTTAAAAATTTTGATACAGGGTTTTACTAAGTTGCTTAGGGTCTTGTTAAGTTGTGGAGGCTGGCTTGAACTTGTGATCCTCTTGCCTCAGCCTCAGAGTCACTGGGATTACAGGTGATTACCCTGCCCAGCAATTTTTTGGATTTTAAACATTAGCGTGGGTGGGGAGATCTGGCAAAATGAAACTATATGACAAACAAGAAGCCTGGAAACATAATTGTAAATTATATATATTATTAAAAATGCAGAGGAGGCTTACTGCAACCAACTGTCCAGTCCCATTGCCTTTATGATGTAAAGGACAACACTCTGCACACTCAGGTCCCTGCCCCTCATAGTCTCATCTCTGACCTGTCCAGCTGTGCTCCTGCCACATATGCCTTGTTATGGTCCTTTAAATATGCCCTTGGGTCTCCTGGGTGACCTCTGCTGACTCCCACCCTCTGGCCTCCTGCCATCCCTCACAGCACAGCTTTAAGGTCACTTCTTCAACAAAGTTTTTGTTGCCCCCTGGGGCTTGGCCCACTCACCAAATGGTATCTTTCACAAAAAAAACTATACTTCTCTTTGGTAGCATTTAGCCTAGTTGTAATTTTAGTGTCCAACAAAGAGTAAAAATCCTGCAATGTGCTGGAATAAATTTGCATAAGGCTGTAAGGGTAATACAAATACATAAAGCACACACATTTTAGAATTTAAATATAGTAAGAAACTTATCTTACCAAAGAGAATGGTTAAAAAATAAAAATTTGTAAATGTCACATACTTCTTGCTCTATATTGGTTCTGATTTCACAATTTTAGATTTTATTTGTTTATGACTAGGTAATTCATTTATGTGGTTCATAAATCAAAAGAATCTCCTTGCATTTCCCCTCCTGAGCACCCAAGTATTCTGATCTGCAGCTGCTGCTGTCACTAAACGACAGACCCTCATGGCCTCAAGCCTGAAGGCTGTGTTTTCTGCAGAAGGCACGTAATTTATCTTGGGGAATAAATGGCAGCTGAGAGAACAGGGCTGCTGAAAGAAAAGGATATGAAAGAACATCTTACACTTCAAGGCAAGTCCCTTGGCCCCTGGACCTTATCTCCCATGCAAGCACTGTTGTGGTGTGAACTGATAAATACAATCAATAAGAGTAAGTTGTAGGTTATAGATTAGTAAAGAATATAGATTATAAGATTTTGATAAGTGAGATAATTATAAAGCAAGAACTGTCATAGGCAGGCTTAAGACGCCATTTTGCCACCTTCTTAAAAAAAAACTATTATAAGAGCTATTTCTGAGAAACTGAAGTGAAAACTGTTTTCTTATAAAAATTGTCTTTCTATACTTTGTACCCCACAAATTGTACCCTACTCAGGATGCAGCAGTGGTCGTGGTGCGCTACATCCTGGATTTGAATGCCCTTGTGGGTCTACATGACTTTGAAGTAGATTCTCGCCCTGCCAACTCCCGCCCAAATTCAGGATGTGACTGTCTAGCACTTGCTTGAACCCAGGACTGTGGTCAACTGAACTGCAAAACTAATGCTTTTTTTTAGCTTCTGTTTATCCACTTGCTTGCTGACTGGAAAACTCCAGTCCTGCCTACAGCCCATAGGTCCCACTTATTAGTGTTTAATTTCTGTAACTGGCTAGCTTACATGGCGATAAGCAAGTCACTGAGTTGTGGTTTTTGTCCTTATATTCTTCTTGGATGGACCAGAAAGCTGCTGTCCTATCACAGAACTTTTTTAGTCTCTATACTGGGTTACAGTCCCTGGCCAGGTAAATAAAGATCTCTTTTGGTTTGAATTCGGACTTAAGAGTGCTTTCTGAAGCGGCTCCTCCCCTAACAGCCCCTAGAGGTCTGGTGGCCTCCTCCCAGTTGTCAAGCAAGCTGGGAACCACCCTCCAGAAAGACAAGGGGTGTATGACCTCTCTGAGGACTCAGCTATAGCAAAAATGAGTACTGTGTTGACTCCCTACTCAGATAGGGTCTAGCAGGTTTTGTCTTATGCACCTGTATAGCCCCAGCATCTAGCAGAGTACCTGGCTCCTAGGAGGAGCTCAATGAATGTCTTTTTTTTTTTTTTGGTACAGAAAATTGAACCCTGGGGGCCTTAACTACTGAGCCTTTTAAATTTTTACTTAGAGACAAGTCTCATTAAGTTGCTTAGGGCCTAAGTTGCTGAGGCTGGCTTTGAACTCCTCAGCCTCCTGAGCCACCAGCCACCATGCCCACCTGGCTCAATGAATGTCTTCTTGAATAAATCAGTGCCTTCTCTTTGGCTGCCCTTAACCTGCTCAGAATGGCTGAAGGAAAAAAAACCTCACAACTAGACAGAAGGGAACCGCTGCAAATAGTTGGTTCCTGACTACAGATGGGACTTGAACACTGCCCAGAAATCCAACTCTGTTTCTCTACATCTATGTGCCCTAGAGGGTAGCTAGAAGCCACATGAGGCTTCTGAGCTCTTGAAATGTGGCCAGGCCAAACTGCACTTATTGTAAAATATATGTTGCATTTCAAGATTCAGAACAAGAAGGTAAAATATCTCATTAATAATTTTTATATGCTGACTTAATGTTGAGATCAGAGTTTGGGTATTGGGTTAGGTGAAATACACTCCTAATTCTACTTGTTGCTTTGATAACTTTTAATGTGTTTACTAGCAAATTGTCAACGACATACTTGGCTTGTATTGTACTACTTTGGATAGCCTTGCTCCAGGCACTTCATTCACTTTTTTTTTTTTTAATTTTTTTTAGTTGTAGATGGACACAATACCTTTATTTTGTTGTTGTTGTTTAAGTTTTATGTGGTGCCAGGGGATTGAACCCAGTGCCTCACCCATGCTAGGCAAGCACTCTACCCCTGATCCACAATCCCAGCCCCTCTTTACACTGTTCTTGAAATATTTCAAAATTCCTTCACTTCAACAAAGTTCTAAATGCCATTCTTCTCTCTCACTTGCAGCAGACAAACTTGCCTCCAACTTCACACTCATACAATTTAGAAAAGAAATACTTCACCTTCCAAACCCAACATCCCTGCTTCATCCTCTCCCCTTCTCTTGCTGCAACAAAGCATCCCTTCTCCTGACAAAGGCCATTTCCAGCCATGTGTGTGCTGGATCCCAACCCTCTTCTGCCTTCTCAGAATCATAATCTTGCCCTTGAACACACCCACTACAGGAAGGAGATGCCTGCTGAGGATATGGAAAGTGAATACCTCCCAATCAACAAGTGAATCCTAATGTGCCATCAGGAAGCCCTGGGACCCCCTACCAGAGCACCTGAAACGTAAATCTTGACAAGTCCCTTTAAAACCTCCCTGTCCCCCTGGATCTGGAGAGTCACAACCTTTGGGACAGGAGTCCCAGGTGTTTCTCCTTTGCTAGCAAAGCAATAAACCTTCTTTTTCCTTTTTCTCAAAACCGTGTCCTCATTATTAAATTGCCATTGATTGGCATTGGGGACAGGGATCAAGCTCTCAGTTACAAGGATGACCTTTCAAATATATAGTCATTACCTGCTAAAAACTTTTTACGGCTCCGGGACCACAAGGCTCTAGGATTGGTCCTGATCCGCCCGATCGGCCCAGCTCTCCACCTCTCACCTGGGCTGGGTGTCGGAAGCCGCCGCCGCGTCCCTCAGTTCCCACAACACACCACGCTCCGACTCCTCCCGGGCCCAGCAAAAACCGCTCTTCCTCCGCGCCGCCCTCCTCCCTTCAACTGGGCCAGGCACGGAGGCCCTTTTCTCCAGCGTCCCGGGCCCCTGGGTGCACCCGGCTTCCCCGCGCACAACCCGCGGCCCTCAGGCTCCCCCGGCTCCCCCGGGCTCGAAACTCATCCGACCGACGGGGCCAACGGCTCCCCCCGCGAGCACGCGCCATTCGCAGTCCCCGCCACCTCCGGGCGGCGAGGTGAGGCGGACTTCGGGCCTCCTCCCACGCCGTCCGCCTCAGTTCCGGGTGGCGAGGCCAGGAGTAAGCGACGCCGGCCGCCCTGCGCCCCCGCGCGTCCCAGGATAACGGGGTCATCACAGTCGCCAGCCGGCGCTCGGCCACCAGGACCCCGCCAACTCCCAAGCCTTCCAACCTACCCCGCAGGACCGTCGCAGCCAGCCTTCTGACCCGGAAGTGCTGCCGCCGCGCAAGCGGAAGTAGTCTTACGTCGCCTTCCGTTCCTCTCGGCGTCGCGCTGCCATAGTAACTCGGCTCTGCCCGAAATGGCGCATGCGTAGTTGCCTGCCCGCGTGTTTCCCGGAGTCTTAGGGAAAGAGGTCGAGTAAAAGGTGCGACAAAGTAAAAACCAACCAACAAACAAAAATGGTTGACCATCAGAATTGTAAAGAAACTTAGCTTATGATTCAGATTAAAGCTGGCGATGTAGCTCAGTGGTAGAGGTCTTGCCTAGCACAAGTTCCATCTCCAGCACCACAATCAGGTCATCAAACCTTTTCGCATAGTGAACATAGCCATCTAGGCAACAAATTTTTCATTTAATTTCATAACAGCCCTTCCGTTGGAGGTATCTTCATTAGATAATGCTTTAGTCCCATCCTGTGAATAAGAAAACTGGGGCTTTTGGTAACTTGTCCAACATGCCGTTCCTGGCCTAGAATTCCAACCTGTGCTTTTTCCATTATCACACCATCCTGTCTGTGTGAGCGGGCGAAGCACCTTTGATTGCAAAGTGCAGAGCTGTATGTCTGTGAAAGTCACAACACAGGCTGGAGAACCAGGAGCGTGCATGTGCCCACGCTGCCACACAGGGCGGCTCCAGGCCTGGGTGAGCAGTCGAAAATCTGTCTATTCTGCTCAGCTAATGCGTTGACCGTGCACTATTGGTGTGTAAAGCCTCAAAGGTCAGATTGATTGTCAGTGCAGCCAGCCCTCCAGTGAACCCAGAGCCTTGGATAAGTGAATGTTAACATGTTTAATGAAGATGCAAATGACAGGGGCTGGGGATGTGGCTCAAGCGGTAGCGTGCTCGCCTGGCGTGTGTGCGGCCTGGGTTCGATCCTCAGCACCACATACAAACAAAGATGTTGTGTCTGCCGAAAACTAAAAAATAAATATTAAAAAATTTAAAAAAAAAGATGCAAATGATGGATGAATGAATGCACAAAAGGAGATACTGGGAGATTACAGATCAACAGGCTACTGGGTCCAGAAACACTGCATCAATCACCTGGGCAGCTTTATAAAAATGCAGATTCCCAACTTTACATTATGAACTGCATATTAGATGTTATTATGGCATGACATTAAAATCCTTGGACATGATAAGAACATTATAGTGATGCACAAAAATGTCCTAGATACAGGATGAAATATTTAGGGTCAAAGATATTATTATTTGAGATATTTTCAAATATATCAGTTGTGTGCACATACATGCCCATGCACACGTACTCTCAAATGTAAAAGCAAACATGGCAAGCTCAAGGATCAATGAAACTTGGTGAAGTCTATATGGTTTACAATTGTAGCCTTCTTTCAATTTCTCTGTAGATTGGAACTTTTTCAAAATAAAGTTTGGGTGGATTAAAATGCAGGGTGTCAGGGACTGCTTCCAGATAATTTCATTCAGTGAGTCTGGATTGAGTCTTGTGGAACTGAGTTTTTCTTTCTTTTTATTGTAGTGGGATTGAACTCAGGCGTCACTTTATCACTGAGCTCCATCCCCAGCCCTTTTTATTTATTTATTTTATTGTTGAGATAGGGCCTCGCTAAGTTGCTGAGGCTGGCCTCCAATTTTCGATCCTCCTATCTCAGCCTCTGGAGTCCTAGGATGACAGGTGTACACCACCTTGTCCAGCGAATCTGAGTTTTTCAATCTCTCCCCATTCTATTGCACAAAGTTGGATACCAGTGATCTAATCCAACTTTAGATTCTCCTTCCCGCCCATTTCCCAGAAGAAAAACTGGGGATCCAACAGGGGTAGTGCCTGGGGATGCCCCTATGGGTTAGCAGCAGCTTCATTCAGCCTTGGTATGTGGATTTCTTTTTCACCGTGAAGGTGTTACCGCTGTTTACCGGTGACAAGTTCTTGCTTCCCCAATGCTGAAGTATAACAGCAGAGAAGCACACCGAAGCAAGTTTAGAGTGGAAAGTAGAAGCTTTATTAAAGGTTACATTTATAAAAGACTTCTCCCTGAGGAAGAAGGGGACCCAAGAGGTGGAATCCATGGAAGGAGGTCTTCCCTCTTTTATAGCTAAGGTCTACTTTCAGCTTTCCCGCCTTCCTGTCGCATTCCTGTCCTTTGTTCTGTTATCTTGCAGTGATGGAATGTAGGTGGGAAGGCCCAAAGGGTTGGGGACAGGTGGGCCGAAGAAGTAATCTGGGCAGGAAGGGTTTTTGGATTAGCACCTCCTTGTTTGTTGGGAGCTGCTTCATTAACATTTCCTTGTGGAAAAAAACAAAAAACAAACAAACAAACAAACAAAAACACATTTCCTTGGGATGGGCTCTGGGCCTTGGGGACATTTTCAATTCCCCCAAGCGCTGCTCTGGTTTCCTGTACTATAATGGCCTCCATTCTTGATTTTACTCGATATTAGACAGATTTATCTAACTACACTAACTTCCTATCTTAAATCTGGCTTCAAAGGTTTTAGCGCGGTAGCTCGGGTGTTTGCGTGCAGCTCAAGGCACAGGCTGGGAGGGCGCCATGAGTGGGGTCGGTGGATGGAAAGAAGGTAACTTTGACCAGGAAGTCAAGTATAAATGGCCCTCTGTTGGCGTCCTGTCGCCAAGGAGACGGGACTGTTCCATGCCTCCTCAAGGGGTGGCCTTGGTCTCCTTTCCTCCCGGATCCGCAGCACCGAGTCCCAGACACACTCTGAGGAACCAGCGGTGCTTACGTAGGTTCCCGAGGCTCCTTGAACCGAGAGGGCGCCGCGAGGTGCGCACGGCCGGCTCCGGAGGTGGCCCGCATCCAGCGCCCACCCCGGGGTTTTAGTGGTGCGGCCCGAAGCGAGCTGGGACCTCAGACGTGGGAACGAGAGCCAGGCATCCAGCCCTCGGGGCGACTCCACGGCGACCCCCAGGATGCCAGAGGCCGGGGACTCCCGCCAGGACCTCAAGCGATGGAAGAAGAAGAAGCAGCAGGTGCATCGCACTGTCAGCCAGATCTGCCCGCCCCCTCGGCGGCCCCTGACGGTGGCTGACATCCGCCCAGGCATGGAGAATGAGAGGCTGGGGGTCGTGCGGGACTCCATGTTTCAGAACCCGCTCATCGTCAAGGTGAGCCACCCACAGTCAAGGGTTTCCAGCCATCAAGTCCTGGGTTCGAGGGCAGCACTGGGGACTCCAGCTCTGGTCCAGACAGACCAGGACCTCTGCAGGGTCAAAGGCAGGTCGCGTCGCCTCTCTGAGCCTCAGTTTTCTCATCCTCAAAGTGGGGTGATAACGACACACGTGAACGGGAGCGGCTGGGAAGACCGAATGGGGTAATCCCAGCAGGACCCTTGCCCAGCGCGACGTTGGCTGCTGTGGTTTCCCCAGCAGCTGGCCGGTGACCCCGCAGGACGTTCATTACCACCTGTCAGCCCCCCAGCCCCCAGTGAAGGCCGCCTTTTGCTTTCCTCCGTGCGCCTGGGCTACTTCTAGGCAGCAGGTGCTGTGTGTCTCTCCTGGACAGAACGCGTCACAAGTTAATTTCCGTCTTTCTGACTCTTACTTTATCCAAATCACAACCTCAAGAGAAAAAGCGCGCATCTCCCACCTAAGAGGCCCCGCGGGCACTCGCAGGGCGTTGCGTTTTTAGTTAGACTACCTAGCCTTTTACTTACTGTCCGCTTCGGGGCACGTTAGTGTCTTTTCCTGCCAGGTGGGAACCCGCACGCCGTGGTGGCACTGCCACACCTCCCTCCCTCCCTGCCACAGGAAAAGTCAGGTTGAAGTTTGGTGGTTGAGGAGCCAGCCATGGAGCAAATTGATTTTGCGCCACTGGAGGGCAGTGTGCTTTTAAAAATGTATTTGGTTTCCCAGGCGCGTGGGAAGGGCGCTGGCGGGAACCGTGGGCTCAGCAACGGGGATTTAGACGACCGCCCAGCGCCGAGGGTTTTGTTGCCGGGGGTGTTTTTTTGCTGTTTTCGTGAAGGGAATGTAGGCTTTCCAGATGATGCGCCATTATCGGTGATGAGCTCTGCTCCTTCACAGGTTGAAGTATAACATTAGAGAAGCACACCGAGGATGTTAAAACAGGGTTTGTTCAAAAAGGAGTAACACAGACTACTCCTGGGAGGAAGAAGGGGGCCAAAGGTGTATCCTGTATCCCCAGAAGCGAGGGGTTCTGCCTTTTTCTGTGTCCCAGGCCTCCTTTGTTCTCCTGCTGTCTTCCCCTTAGCTCTCTCCTTCCGGCACTGTGAGTAGGCCCAGGAGATGCTGGGTGGATGGCCAAAAGGTGAGAAGCCACGGGCTGGGGGGCCGAGTGGGAGTGATCTGGGCAGGAAGGGGACGTAATTCACCACTCCCTGTAGGGAGGGACAATCCTGAGACAGGTTATCTTAGCAACAGGTTGGAGCAGGGGCAGGTTATCTTGATAAGGGTGGAGGAAGGGCTCTGAAGGAATTAACATTTCAATTCCCCCATTCTCGGGATCTGACCCTGCCTGTCTGCCTGTCCAATTCTGGCTTCATTGACACTGCAGAATTAACAGAGTTGGCTGGCTGGGGAAACACAGACTCTTTCCTCCCATATTCCCTGAGATATGTTCCTGCAGAGGGTGTACAGTGCAGGGAAGCGGCAGCAGCGCCTTTCCAACCAATAGCCCCCACCCCCAGTGGAACAGGGTCCTTCACTTACTTCAAGGTGAGAAGAGGCACTCTCAGCGGACAGAGGGGTGAGTTGGGTCCACCATTCTGGGATTGAGGAGAGAATGGAGGCCACAGCCCCTGCTACAGCTCCTCTGATGTTAGATCATTACTGTCATTCCAGTGTGACCAGTGGCCCAACTCCTTCCTGAATGCACAATGAAGGGCACTGTAGCCATCCATCCCAAGCGACGCTTACTTTTGTGTGTATTCATACATACATTATATAGTGTGCATATATAATATGCGTATACTCATGCACATACGGTTTACATGTATTGTACATACACGTATATATAGTATAATATGCATGTGTATAATATGTATACAATATACATGATATAATGTAGTTAATATACGCACATATGTGTAAAACAATGTGTATAAATATATATGTAAAATCCCCCATATGAAGTTCAATATTTGGCCTCTGGGTGGCAATAGCGGAACATCTTCCAGGAAGAATGGGCTCTGAATGCGAGCTTAGGATGAAAACGTAGAGTCCGTCACCAACCTTTGACTGCGCCTCTGTCTTCAGGGCTGGCAGGACCGTTCTGGCCTTTGGGGACCATGCAAGAGCAGTAGGGGTCCCCCACCCAAGCTTTGCGGTGACTGACCCTGGGGTTCTCTTCTGCCAGGAGCCGCCAGGATGCAGCCTTCCCTGGGACCGCCCTTGGATTCTTCACCTTTCTGTAGCGGTCAAGTTGATATCCACATCACAATACTCTCCACATCCTGTAAGATCTAGCAAAACCTGAACTGGGGTTGGCGGCCTGGACGTGACTGCTCCTTCCAGACCCCCTTACAAAACAGCGCCCTGCAGTCCCTTCTGCCTGGCTTTGTGCTTTGGGTTCTGGCAGAGCCTGGGTGGGTGGCTACTTCCACTGCCCCTCAGCCCCAGCATTATTTTTACTGCTTAAAACAGCATCCTGTATGTGAAAGAAAATTTGAATTATGAAACTTTGAGGGTTTGGACTTTTTTTAAAAAAGGAAGAAATTGAAAATGTTTAAGGCTGTGGAGCCTTATGATAATGATGATGTTACTAAAATTTCTGTTGAGTTGGCTTGTGGATTCCTTCACTGAGGCCCACCCAGTTCACTGGCCCAGAGTTTCAGGTCCTGTGCCTCCTCGCGGGTGGCAGTGGTCAGGAGTGCCTTCCACCCATTTAGAGGATAACTGGAGCTGAGGCATATTTTGCTTTTGTCTAATCTGAGCTTGAAGCTGTGCATTTCTATTGAGGGAAGCTAGTGCCTTAGAAATAGTAGTTCATCCCACCATATTGGAGGTTGTCGCTTGAATTGTTTTTTGCAGTGGGTGGAATGTTTTCAGAATTGTTTTATTTAAAATGCAAAGACACTGACTGAACAAACCCAGCACTGGTATTTCCCACCCAATGAATTTACCAGGACGTGTGCACATCAGTTATTCAAGAACATGTCTGCAAGGTGCCACGGTAACCAAGTGAAAAGTGAGAATCCCAGACATTCAAGCAAGCGTTTTACCTTACAAATGCTCAACAACTAGCTGCCTCATTTAGAACAAGACGACTGGTTATTGAACGGGATTTAATTGCATCAAGATGATGTTTTATGTGGCCACAAAAGGACGTAGCTGTTCTCATTAGGACGGACCTCTCCTGCGCTGTGTAAAGTGATGTGCAGGCAGAAGTGTGCCTTCCAATGTGACTCCCTGGAAGAATAAAATTAAATAAAGAACCGAGCTTCTCCTTGCTTGATTCTCATTTCCCCAGAATCCTGTGACTCAACACAGAATCTGGCAACACTAGCCTTCAAGGCTCCCTCACAAAACCTGTCAGGGGCGCACCCTTCCTGCCGTCGGGACTCCGCTGATATCCTGTCAATACAATTATGGGGAGAGACTGCTTGGTTTGCTCCACTGACAGCCTGGAATCTTCTGTCGCCCTGGAGAGGGGCTGCTTACAGGGGTGGAATTTATCGAATCGAGCGTCCTTGGAAAGTGCAAATGATCGTGGCACCTGAGTTCTTCATAATTTATTACTGACTTTGTTTTTCCGTGGGGATTTATGTCACAAATAAGAAGTGCATGCATTTGTGAAATAGAGTTATAGAATCACACAGCATTTGGGGCTAGAAAGAAGCTTACACACAGCTAATCCAACTCCTCTCTCTCTCTCTCTCTAGCATATTAAGGTCTGGTGAGGTGAAGAGACTCACCAGAGGAGCTGTTCTTACCTGGTAGGTAGAAATGACATGAGGCACAGGTCTCCTGACTTTAGATTCCAAGTTCTATTGGCCTTAACTGACGATTAATCAATCATCCTGCATAGCAGACAGTCAGAAACTGTCACAAATGAATCTGGTTCCAACGTCATTTCACTCAACCTTCCTTCTCAAGTGAGCTCTACTGATTTCACGGGACTTGTTGCTAGCAAAGAAATATTTACTAAATGTTCACTAAATGCCCAATACCATCCTAAGCTCTTGGGAGTTTAGAACTCAGCCCTTGCCCACAAAGAGTTAACCATTTAATATTTAGCTGGGGAGATGCGACACACACACACACACACACACAAGCACACTCAAGACAGGCAATGTCCTGAGTTACCCCCTGTGAACGGCACTACTCAGAAGGGTTCAGTTCTTGAACCCAGGGGGAGGCTACACTGGCAGGACTTGGGAAGGCTTTATGAAGGAACAGATCTGGACCTGGAACTTAAAAACCAGGTTCATATCAGGATGAAAGGCTGAGGAAAAACAAAAAACAAAAACCCAGCCCTCTGGGGCCCATGGAGTCCAGCCCCTAGATCCAAAGTGTTAGTCGGCTTTGCCTCCAACTCAAGTCCAGTCTGTAAGAGTGGTGCCCCTGGTGGGATCTTTACCATTATCATCCCGAGGAAGCAATTATTCAGAGTGTTCGAATCAGACACTACAAAACCAGGCAACCACCCCATGCCCAGTAAGAGCTGAACTTCACTAATACACACGGATGCCGGTGAACACAGGCGCTGAGGCAGAGACAGCAGAGAAGGCAGGGCACAGCAATACAGCCGTGCTCGCACCCCAGCACAGGTCAGTGGCTGTGTTAGTTAGGTCGCAGCACTGAGTAAAAACACTACCGACTTGTTTTCTCTTCTGAAGAGGCTCGGCCTCAGATTTGTATGCAGTTACCATGTAATAGGAACAAATCAATGTTAGGGAGGGCTTAGGAACAGCGGCCCCTCCTAATGGCAGGTCCTGCCGCCACGGGGAAGGGCTTTTTTCTAGGGATTTTTTCCAGGTGATTCTCGGTCCTCGCAGCTCCTTTCCCCATCTTTCTGATTCAGAGCTTTCCCCTTCCTGGCGCCCAGATGGCCTTCAGTGAGTGCAGCCTGCAGCAGTGCCCTGTGCCCTGCCCAGGACTGTGGCCACTCCAGAGAGTGGAGCTGTCCCCTCCGCTGGCTTGGCACCAAGGCCAGGAGCAGCTTCTGAAGAAGGGGTGCTTGGCTTTGAAGCTTTGAGACCTCAGAACTGGTGCTCCTCCCACTGAATCAAGTCACCATCTGTTTCCGTGGCTCTCAGGACACTGCTGTGGTGTTGTGGGAGGGCTGTTCCTATAGGAAGAATTCTGAGGCCTGGTGAACACATCAGTGGGGGCTTCCAGCAACTTCCAGAGCATTCCAGGCTCAGCCGATGCTCATTGTATAAGTCAGGATGCTTCCTCATTAGGTGTACATTGTTTATTTTTTCAGTACTGAGTATTGAACCCGAGGCCTCATACATGCTAGGTGAGCTCTCTACCAATGAGCTATTCCTCCTCCTCTTCCTTATTTGAAAGAAAGTTTCCTTGACCTAAAACTGGCTCTGCACAGAAAGTTTCGAACCCCGATCTCTATTGTGTTGGGTTCAAGCTGTTCTGTGACCCCCAGAAGCATCATTTGTCCCGTAAGATGACTGATTTCAACCCTGTTTTAAGAAAATGCATCTTGGCTGGAGTGTATCTTGCTGGTAGAGCACACTGCAGCCCTGGGTTCGATTCCCACAATTGCAAAAGAGAAAACAGAAAAAGGAAATGTATCTTTATTTAAAAAGTTTAATAAAAATAAACAAACACCATCAAGTGTATCCTACCTGACATACTAACTATGGAGCCCACCAATCCATTAGCTGTGCTTTGAGCTCACTAATTTTGAGATGTCAGTTCTGTGTTTGTACTTGAGATGCTAGTAAATGTGTCCCAGGCAACAGAGACTGTGACCCACCACTTTCAGGTAGGGGGCCAATACACAGTGCAGGACGGTGTGCGCAGGTTCCTGAGAACTGGCTCTGGCAAGCCCCTGCCCAGGGGCCTTGGGCCCGCTGGTCCAACCACAGGTGCTTTTCCTCTGACTTTTATATTTGAAAAAGAAAAAGAAAGGAAAGAAGAACAAGAAAAATAGTGCTGTCCATTGTTAACAATTCGACTTTCAACGAAATTGTCCCCGTCCCCGGATGCTTCTTTCAGGCTCCTGCATCTGTGCAAATGAGAAGGGCTGCAGCTATTGTTTTCAACAACCACAATAAATAGAGAAATCCGCTGCCTGGCTGCCCAGGCAGATGTCAAGCCCAGCTACCTGGCAGGAGAGAGGGGCCTGCGGGGCGGTTCGGATGTCAGGCTTCCTTGTTCGGAGCCAGCCGAGTTCTGCCTGCCGACCCCCCCCCCCAGCTCTGCCACCTGTGACGCTGCTTCTCCTCTAGACCTCCCTGTGAGCGGAGGTGAAGGTACTTAGCACCTGGACATCAGGATTCCCTGAGCTCATGGGGTACTGCCTGGCCCGGGAGCAGTGAGCACTTTGCCCTTCCCGTCATCCTGACTTCAAATATTCTTGTTCCTCAAAGCAACCTTATTGTTCTCCTCAGTTGACTAGAAGTAAATGCTGAAAACCCTGAACTCCGGGAAATCTCGGGAGCTGATGAGGAGACAAATCCTCCTCCCTGCGCTTGCGTTCTTCCCCTTTCCTGCTGTCCTTGAAAGACACTACCGCCGCCCCATCCCCCTCACCCTGCAACCCTGGCCAGCTGGGCACACCCTGGTTAGGTGCTAGAGCCTTCGTTTTCTGGAGCTCTGGTCTTGGGCAACTGGCTTGATTTCCTGAGCCGCGGGGGGTGGAGGGTAAGACCCACCTTGCCTCCTTTCAAGGTTGTGAGGGAGGCAGCCTGAAATGAGACTCTACATCAGGAGAAAGAGGCTGACATTCTGGAAGCAGCTCAGTGGTTCTCACTTGGGGGGGGGTGATTTTGCTCTCCTGGGAACTTTCGGTCGTGTCTGGAGACATTTTTGGTTAATGCAGCTGGAGGGGCTGCTGCTGGCACCTGGCAGAGACGCTGCTCCACATCCTCGGACTGCAGACTGCGCCTCCCACCCCGCAAAGGGGCATCCGCCGTCAGCACCAAGGCTGAGAAGCCCTGAACTGGGAGAGGCAGACACGTGGGGCACTCGTAATTCCTTCACCACAGCCTCTTGAAAACCTAATCCAAAAATTATAGAAATGAAATGGTTTGGTTTTAATTGCTTCTCTACCCATGATCTGCGCCTGTTTCCCCTCCTCCCACACGTCCATCCCGTCCCGTTGTATTTCCAATTCCCCTTTCTGAATCCTGTTTCCTGCCCTTAGTGGTGTGGCTTACGTAAGTTCGCTAGCTCTTGTCTGTAGCTTGCCTGTCTCTGCCTCACCCCCGTTGTAGTTTAAAAACATAAAAAGCATTTCCAGTGATCCCTGCAGAGTGGCTCAATAATTCATCAGACCCACTAATTAGCATAGAGGCTGTTTTGTTGAGTGGTCACTGAGCAGCCGGCACTCAGCTTTGTTTCCCTGCCCCACCAACTTGCAAGGGTTTTGTATTCCTCAGCGTGAACCAATCTAAGATTTAAAACACAACCGATTTGGTAAACCAGAAATTAAACTCACAGTGGGCCGGAGCCCCTGCGCAGACCCTGCCCCCATGTTGTGGCATTTTTGGAGAGGCAAAAACACACGCTTCCAAAAGAAAACAGCTAATTTTACACCCAGTAGTTTAAAGGCACATCAGGGGTCGGTCAAGAAACAGACTCGGGTCAGTGAGCAGAAAGGTCAGCAGGAGCAGCACACAGGAGGGAGACTGGCCACCAAAAGGCACAATGGGCTGAAAAGAGGCCTTTTGATCTTTTATAAGAACCAAACAATACATATTTGGGAGGCCAGTGAACCCGGGAGCACACAAGATAGAGCTCTTTGTGCAGGTCAGAATCCTCTGGGTCTGTCCAGAAGAATGAGGGTGGATGCTCAGAAGCTGTTTGATTTCAAGGCCTGGCCTTAGTGAAAGTCTGCACCGCTGCCAGGTGGCGGCCATTTGGAACCGAGAGCAGAGCATCCAAGCCAAGTCGCTGCACCAGAGAGAAAGCCCCAGTGAGCCTGAGCCAGATGCCACAGCCTCCCACCAGGACAGAGGACCCAAAAAGACACGGACACCGAGAGAGGGGACTGTTCAGCGTGGCGTTTCTGTTGAAGGCATTAGGAAGTTTGCTGGCAGCTTTGCTGGTCCATTTTTCTGGAAAATGTGGCCATGTCACCACAATGAAATGCCATCATAAGATTCCCTTTTGTAGAATTTCCTTTTCATTTCCCCTACCTCCCAGGAGCTCTTTAGGAAAAGAGTCGTCGTATCTATTTTGTACGCATTTGAGACTGCTAAGGAACCTGTTGGTCAATCTCCAAATGTTTACCAAACATCTAGATTGTGCAAAGTGTGGGTGGGAACACAGGAGGTTTAAGGATTCATTTCCAATGAGCTGAGGGTCTGGTCAGGGACCAGCAGACTTCCCCTGTGAAAGCCACAACACAAGTTATTAAGGGAGGAAGGAGAGGAGATGAGCAGCCAGAGTGCCGTGTTTAGAAGTTGAGTCCGGAGGAGCGTGAGATCGCCAGCCAGGCTGCTTAGTGAGCTTGCCGAGAGAGCCGGAGCCGGGCTGGGGCTGTCAGACGGGTTGGATTCCAGAGGAAAGGGAGGGCCCCAGGAGAAGGGCTGGCCTGGGCCAAGGTGCAGTGTCTGAACTGTGCAAGGTGTTTCATGGCAAAAATGAACAGCACCTCCACTCGGTGACTCTGAGCACGGCGAGGAAGGGGAGGAGGTGCCCTCTTCACTCACCGCTTGCCTTGACACACTTTTCCAGCTCGCCCAGTGTACACGCACGGCCAGCACCACAGATACAGGGTTGACTGGCCTGCTGCCCGCTCTTCCCTCCAAGAACTTACAGTCTAGTGGCAGAAACAGAAAGATCAACAGCAAAGTGTAGGGGTGGGGCTGGAGTTGTGGCTCAATGGTAGAGCGCTTGCCTTCCATGCATGGGGCACTGGGGTCGATCCTCAGCACCACATAAATACATAAAATAAAAGTATCGTGTCCCATACAAAAAAAAAAAAAAAAGTGGTAGGGATGTGGTAACAACCATCTGGATGGGACCCAGGCTGGCTGGCTCTGCAGACAGCTCTACCTGGATGCTGGGAGGCAAGGAAAGGTGTCACAGGCTGATGGCTTCTGCTGAATCTTGACACAAAGATTAGTGAAGCAGGTGCAGAGGCCTGGTGAGGTGGGGCAGAGGCGGGTTCTGAAGCTTATGTAATTTGGGATCCTTCTTTAAATAACAGCACAAAATTACGAATTGTTTTAGAAATCATGTTGAAAGGGTTAGAAGGAGCCTTTAGTGAGGGAACCCAAAGTTAATTGGGGTGGGGGCAGCTGGCTTTCTGGACTTGAGGGTCCTCGGTTCTTCCCCAGGATACTGTTATTCATTTATTCATTTATTCACTAAGCAATGACACTTCCTTGGGACCAAGGACCACAGGGATGAACTCAAAGTTGGCCCTGCACCTTCTTGTTTGTTCTGGCCCCTTAGGGAATTCCCTGGAGGTCCCGAAGCCTTGTTCCAGCACACTTGAATGGCTCCTTCCCTGAGAATGAGCCTGAGCTCACCTTCCTTTACATAGCTCACCATTTGCAAGTCTGATTTTTTTAATTAAAAATATGTATTTATTTATAAAAGGCATGGTTTATTTATTTATTTATTGTGGTGCTGGGGATTGAACCCAGGGCCTTGTGCAGGCGAGGCAAGCACTCTACCAACTGAGCAAGATCCCCAGCCCTGTTTATTTTTTATGTGGTGCTGAGGATCAAACTCAGTACCTCACATATACTAGGCAAGCACTCCACCACTGAGCCCAGCCCAGTCCTTCTATGTAAGGCTGTCCCTTTCAAAACCAGGCTGTTGCTGGACCTCAGGGGTGCCTTGGGGACAGGACAGACTTCGTCCCTGCAGCTGGCAGCTCACAAGGCCTTGAGAGCCCATGCTCTGCACTTAGACCTGGCCTGTGAAGGAGGCAGGGGGCTGAGAGGTTCATCACCAGGAGCCCCGGGCCGCCTCCCTGCAGGACGGGACACTTAAGCCCAGCTTCTCTCCCAGAAGGCACAGCTGGTTAGTTCAGAGGGGCTGTTGGGTGGGAGGAGATGTTCTGTGGTAGACCCAAGGCACCGGGAGCGCTGGAGGAAAGGGGCAGGGCGAAGCCATGAAGCACTGGGGAAGGTAGTGCCCGGATGAGGTTGCAGGAAGGCCAGAGACCTCCCGTGGAAGCAAGAGGAACCAAGGAGACCGACGCCAAAGGCCCGAGCCTGGTCCACAAATCCCCGGTGGGTCTGAGGTGACAGGTGACCGTGCCTCCTTCCTGCACAAGGCTGGCTGACAAGTGCCACACACCACACGCGCACACACACCCCTGCAGGGCCCTGTGATTTGACTGCTGGAGTAATCGCTCGCATCCTGGTCCCCTACCAGGCTGATGTTGGGAGCACCTGTGTGTGGCGGGTGTGCGCGGCCACATGGTTTAGGGTTAGCAACTGCGATTTGTTTACTTTTTGCAAGTTAAACAAGCCCAAGTCTGAAGCGCTGTGTGCTGCCAGCGCGTTGTTTGAGGAAGCTGGCAGGCGCGGTTCTGAGGGGTCCCTCTGGGCTGAGTGCCGGGCTTTGCAGCTGCTTCTAAAACTTTTATAAACTGTCGCTGAAGAGTTTGCTCTCTCTGGAGGCATAAATTTGGAGGTTTAAGTAAGTCTTTTAAAAACTCCCCTCTAAGAGGAAGGCGCCTGCTGGGCGTCTCTGGAAGCTGTTTCCAGGCTGCTGCTTGCTGCTGCCCGCTGCTG